TTATCCCCCCTGATATCACATATATTCCAAGGGGTCACTATGTTTTGAAGGCATAAAATTTGAACAAAGCGTAATTGTGATCTTACATTATTCATAGATATGACTTGATACATGTTTTGGATGGTGTTAAAATAAAAAGTTCCTGTCTTATATATTTTAAGAGAAAAAAATTATTTGTTATTACAGTATATCCTATATTCAACGATATGCAATTTGTATAAAAGTTACATTCAAAAGTCTATTTTGATTAAATTATCCTAACACCATCATGGATTTAAATACATTTTATTATATGAAGTAACTATTTTAATTTTAACACATGAAAACAGAAATCAAGGATTAAGTACTAATTGTTTAGTAAAGCCCATGGTCATGCCACCATGTTTGAAGAGGGGGGGGGGGTAATGTTACCGGACATTCTGCCAATTAGTAGGTGTTAACGTGGAATACTTATTAACTTCATACAGGTTTGGCTAGATAGTTACTGGATGATGAAAGGGTTTGAAATAATGTTCATAAAAATTTGTTTCTGTCATTAATAAACTAATTTTTAAGATATTGTAGCTCATTGAGTGTCAGCTTTTATTCCGTTATCAAGGGTATCATTTTTGGTCTCTTTATCCAGTACTTCTTGGACAGCTTGCAGAACAATTCCATCATCAAGATCATCATCATTTGTTTCATTGGTGAATGTGACCATTAGTCTGGTATGTTTATGCAACACTCTTCACCTTTGCAAAGGCAAAATATACTGCATGACAAAGTAGTTTTACAGCACAGACAACAATCTATACCACAAATGATATCATTGCTGGCACACTTCTCACGTGTACAATGTATCATCTTTAGCACTGAGTCTGGTGCACATAAAAACGTTTGGTGGAAGATTAACTGACACTAATATGTTGTTGACAATATCAATTTGCCAGCCATACTCCGTTGGTTGCAACTTAGGAGGTAAGGGTTGGGCTGCATGTTTACACAGGGATGTTTGTAGATGAGCATGTTTCCAAAAAGGTTGCAATGATTGTAGTTCTGGCAGCATTTCTCTTGGTCCACACATCATATCTAACATCAGATGACTGGATTGATACCATAACATGCTGCTGTGAATTTAGTAGCCTGTGTCTTTACATCAGATATTGGTATGTTGTCTTCTCCAATCCAGCTTAAAGGAGCATTTCCAGTCTGGTGTTAACTGCTTTAGTCTTGCCTATGCGGTATAGACTAGATGTTGTGTCACAGTCTGTCAGGCTGAGGGCAGCAAGAAGTTGTGAGGTGACATTTTTGTTGGAAGTTGACACAGACTCCAGAGTAACATAAGCAATTAGATAGTGTTTTTTTCATAGTAGTGAAGCAATAGGATTAAGACACTAGTGTCTTCACATACTACATTGATATTTTTACTTCCAGTTTTGCTGTTCATAACATACTTGTTTGTTGATGTTTTCAGGTTACCAGATTCATCAAACATAGAGGTGGGGATGGGTGCCATTGGCCCAGCTCAATGACTTGATAGTTTTCATATCAACATTGGCTTCAGAAGGGGGAGGGCGCTGGGGGTAACCGCCCCCTCCCTTTCCCAGATTTTTTTGGATTTGAAACTGAGGCTAGAATTTGAAAGCTTTTGAGAGCTTATTAAAGTCAAATGATACTATGCCATTATTTAGTCTATATCAAGCCAGATCTCATTTCTCATTAAGATATTTACATATGTTATTCTGTACCTTCGTTTCTAAGGAACCAATACAGTATGTAAATACTTTGGAGAATAAGAGCAAAATGTATATTTTAGTAAAATTCAATGTCAGTTTTCTTAAAACACAATTTTCTCTTGTTTTTTGGGAATGTTGTGCTGAGACATGTTCAGAATGTACCAGAGAGGATCTAAATCTGAAAATTTTCTGAGGGCATCCATCCACGCTTCACGCACGATCCATCCATTTCCAAACCCCTCCCTTGCGAAATCCTTCTGGCACCCCTGTATCAAGTTGCCAGTTTATTACCAGGCTCAAACTCGATAGTAAATGAGATTGGTGTCATGGACAACCTTGAGTATAACTATATGAAATAATAAAAATTAAATCTTAATCACTGAAATAGAGAATAGAGGTTTAAAGGTTATATAAATAAGACAGACCTATGAAACTTTTTCTAATATCAAATATTACATATTACCTTTGAAGTCAGTGGTTCATAGGATCTAGATCATAGGATCTAGAGGATCGATTACAGTACTCAATGATTCTCTGAGCTTCAGTCTGTCTATGCAGTGAGCCTCAACATTTGTGAGGCTCTCTTCTTTGTGTCTGGTCACAATAGAGGATTGGGCATTGACAGTTTCACCAAGGTCCTGGATATTGAGTTGAGGATCTGACTGCATATATGCATGCTGAGATCTCAGAGAAGTGTTTGACTGAATGAGTTGCCTATGATTCCAGATGGTCCATGGCCGTACCTAATATAGTACTTAACAAAAATATCAAAAAGGCCCTAATTGAGTTTTAATGTCCCATTTAAGAACCCCTATTCTAACTTTCGAAAATGAATTCTAGCAATATCACCCAATAGGAATCTACTTGTTGAGATTAATGAGTTCTTCTGAGAAATTGAGGATTTCAGCAAGGGTGCATTGACTTAACATGGGGACATACCTAAAGGTATCCCCAGACTAAGTCAATGGTCAATGGCTCTTTCCCCATGTTCAGTCAATGCATCCTTGCTAAAATCATCATTTTCTCAGAAGAACAGTTGATTGAGTCTAAACAAGTAGATTCATGTGGCATAGTATTGCTATAATCCATTTTCAAAGGTAAGAATAGGGGATCTTAACAGGACATTGGGTTTGCTTTGCAGAACATTTTGTTGGTACTAATAAGTGGTCTCTATCATCATATCTAACCAGATTCCATTCCAAATGGAATGACGGGTGACATGCTGTCCTTGTAGAAACTCAACAACATTCTGTGGATGTCTCCCCATGTCTGACAGAACAGTGCTTACTAGTTATATTGTCATGCAGAAACGAAATGGGGAAGCATAGATTGATCAACAGCAGCCAAACGGAGCAGCCAGTTGCCTTCCCTTTCAGCCCTAACAAGTTGCACAATGATAAATACTGGCATTTGTACTTTTCTTTCTGACAATTTAGTGTTGTGTTAAGAACATCTATGAGTTCCTGGTAGCTGTTTACCTGATGAATTACTTGTCTCGAAAATTCTTCAGCAAGGAGTCTCAATGCTTGAACATTGTTAGGGTAATTCTTGCCTGTTGATCTTGGTTTCCCCAGCAAATTGGGTATCTCTACTATTCAACTGTCTGACATTAGGATGCCGACACAACCAACAAAACTCATGAGCATGCACATGCCCCGAACCTGTTGATGAATGTATAATAAAGGTTGTTGGGGTCCAGAAAATGACATCAGTGGCTACTTTGTACAACTGCTGGTGCGTTCTCAAAATTGTGTAATCTTGCTTATATGTTTGGGTCAACTCCTTTGCCTGATGCATGATGGTTTACATTGTGCTTGGGTCCACTGACTTAACATCAAGGAGTTGGCTGTAGGCAAGTTTTATTGCAGGTTAAATGATGGCGCCACTAGTCCTAGCTAACCTAGTAGTGTAGCCCCAGAATTATGGTGTCCCTGGTACAGATGTAACACTTCCAATAAATGGTCTAAAATTTGACCCTTATAAGCAGGGATGACCTACTTACACTGTCAACAATGAGTTTCTTTCACATTTCAAACTTGTCATCTAACCCCCCCCCCTTCCTCCCTCTATAAAAGGGTATACATTATAATTTTCTGAAATATTTTAATTTAAAGAACCTGTATCTTACATAAATAGCTTAGTTTGATAGATAGACTCACAGAATCTGCTGATATTATATTTTTCAATGTTTCACAGTGATTACAGTGATATTTTTCATACATATTAATATTGCTGAATACAAGGAAGTCTATGTTAATATATTTATTTTCTCTTCAACTAAATAAAATACAAGTCTCATATTTCCACACTATCTCTGGCATGGGTTAATTTAAAGTCATGGATAATTTCAGATCACAATCTTGTTTAGTTTGCAAAATATGCTTATTAAACATAGTGACCCCTTAAAAATAGGTGGTGCTAGGGTAACAAATCAAGCATATCTCATTAAATTTGTGATTCTATGTGATGAAACATAGTTGACATGTTGTTTAGACTAAATACAGTTTATCTGAATTGGTTAAAGTTTTCAACTCTACCAACAGCCCTTTAAAAAAAATATTTTGTGAAATGGGCATTTTACAAGGGGCGCCACCTATACGATGCTGTAAAAAAATTTGCCCACCAGTGCCAGTCCGGCACAGTTCTGATTTTGAAAGTAATTAACTTATAGATAAAGAAAATACAAAGATATAGCATACATCCTAGAAGGCAACCAAAAGTTTCAATATGCCATTATTCCGCTGGACTAGTTTGTGTAATAATTTGTAAATAATAATGAATTGACTTGCTATTCTGCAAATATTGTCAAAGACACATTTCAGAACTTGCATTTTTGAGTGACTTGGAGTGACAGCATGTCTAAATTGAAAATGTGATTTCTCCAAATCTTAAAGTTGTAATGCCATCTAAGAACATCATGACTGTTTTTGGCATTGAATTTTATTCATCACTGTCTCTTATGAGAATATGATAATAAAACATGTCATTTTAAAATATACTTTGAAATATACTTTTTATTTAATATGTTGTGAGGCAATAACAAATATCTAAAATAAAATAAATATTCACCATTCAATAGTTTTTCACTGTTTTCTGTTTACTGTGCACAATATAGCACTCCGCTATATACAAATAACAAATAAATGGACAAACAGATGGATCAACGAAGAAATGAATGCACAAACAGATGGATAAACGAACAATTGAATGGACAAACAGATGGATGAATGAAGAAATGAATGGACCAAAGAACAAACACATGATGAATCAATCTACAATACATACCTATGTTCTGGTGATCAGTTAACTTTTCTGAGTGAGCTATTAGAATAGTCTCCTCTGGTTTCCCTGGTCCAGCTGTAAGCACAAAGTATTCCACATCATTAATTCATCTTTTTAGTTCTTCAGTAGCTTCATGCTTAACTACAGTACATTAAATTTAGACATAAAAGAAAATAGAGGAGATATAATCTCTGCAAATAAATCTTCGCTATAGTCAATACAGAATACCAAGGTCTCAATATCCATAACAAACAATACAAATTCAACACAGCTGGTAAAATAGCCAAGGTTTACAACCCCCTAGTGTAAGATTGAACTTGAAGATTTTCTTGACCAGAATGGGTCAAAGGGGTGAATTATTATGGGAATGATTTTGGCTCATCGACAGACAACTCCATACTGACTATGACTACTCAACCAGATACAACCAGGGATACACAAATCTGGACCTTTACCAAACACACCTCAAAATAGATCAAAAATTGTCCACTTACCAAAAAAGTACCAAGCAAGTGTGGCAGCAATTGCCATCATTAGCACAATAGTAATAGCCACCCGTAGACAACAAGTCAGCCGCCATTGTTTATAGTGGTCCATTTCTCGCTGCTTGGCACGTTGACGCAGCTTCTTACTAGAAACAATGCAATGGATTTAGTATGTGAACTATTTTTGTATTGCAGATGAATTTTTCTACTAGATGATAAAATGGGGGGGGGGTCTATTAAATGTCTCAAGAGTTTCTGGCAGCATGTAGGTGACATATTCAAAAGATACATCAAACAAGACCTAAAATATTGAAATTTTGGGGTCAACCCAGTTGTCCGAAACCCAATTCTCCGAAACCCAGTTGTCCGAAACCCAGTTCTCCGAAAATTGTATACAGCTCTATGAACGAGCATTCTTTCATTAGTAAAGGGTGTATTTGAGAGTTAATTTCATCAACTGAACAATTCCTTTATGGGCTGGTATTTAATAAAACTGTCACAAGATGAAAGTACAAGGGCATATACAGGTGATATAGATGTTCAAACAAACAAAGTTAAATTATGTTATTCTCATTGCAAAGTGGCGTTTACATGACATACATAGGGGTGTACAATTTTTAAACCAATTTTTTTTATGGCCCATAGGCCTTTTTTGAGAGGGAATAACATTTTTCCAATGGGTGATGGGTGTTCATAAAAGGGAAAATAGCTTTCCCAAGCCAGTGGGCATTTATTTAGTAAAGTTGATGTGTACATCTTTTGAAACCAAAACTTATTCTTCACTTACATAAGCTACTCTGTTCGAGAAATAGAGATTAGATTCAAAAGGATGAAGTGAGTACATGGCGAAAATGAAACTTCTTGCAAATGGGAGAACATCCATTTTCGATATGAGGACAGCCTTTGACAATGTAATATGTATACTGTTTTATTCTTTAAAGGAACATTCCTTGCCAGACTATTTTTCTCCTGATATGGCAGCTACAATCATATATATACTTTACATATTTAGCAAAACACGGGAAAATGTTTTCATATGGTCAATATTGATCATTTAAAAATGTAGTACTCATTCCCAGTAAGCTGCCATCTTTTCAGATTTCTTCCAGGAAGTGATGTCATCGACTCTCACCTGTTATAACCTTGTCTATTACAGTATAGGAAAGAAGTACAAAATCACTTCTAAACAAGAAGCCCTTATCTTCAGTGTAAAAATATTTTCAGGAGTTGTCAACTTAGAACTAAAGAAGAGATCATCAAAAGGACTTTAATCATAGACCAAATTGAAAAAAATATTCAGCTGGTTTAGTATTTCTAATAGCTCCTTACCTAATGTTATATGCAAAGTTGAGAGTCGATGACATCACTTCCTGAGTGAAATTTTAAAAGATGGCAGCCTACTGGAATTGAGCACTACATTTTTAAGTGATCAATATTGACCATTTCAAAACATTTTTCTGTTTTTTGATAAACTTGCAAAGTATGTATATGGTTATAGCTACCATATTAGGAGAGAGATGGTCTTGCAAGGAATACCCCTTTAAGTTCTATGCGATAACTTATTTTATATGTTTCAAAATGTTTCATTTTATTTTGCCTATCTAAAAAAGACTGAAGAAGATAGATAAACTGTTCCGTAATATATATTGTGTTTTGATAACCTTTTTTATATTTTTTTTGTAAAATATATAAATCCCCCGTTCCTGCCATTCTGGAAATTTTTATTTTTTTTATTTATTTATTTATCTATTTATTTTGACATATGCTTTTTTAACAGCGGCACACTATTGCTAGGTGCGTCAGTATTTGTAATCTACATATATATTTTATAGGCACTAAAAATGTTTACATAAAATACGACAATTTTCTAGGGTTAAAAAGTGTTGCTAAAAACATCTTTACATATTTGTAAAACATATAAAAAATGGCATGCCCCCATTCCATAATAAAAACCTTATCACTAAGTAGTGTAACCTCGATCATGAATGTTCGAAGGCAATAAACTACTACTTAAATTGGGAGAAATGTATTTCTCTACATTGTTGTAAAAGTTGGACCTGGCTTTGGCAAAATGGGGACACACCATTAATCTGTGTGATAGAATATCTCTCAACTTAAGAGACGCCATGCAATAGATGCACTTTCAAAGTGAGAAAGAGAGATCTATGAACATCAGAAAGTACGTCCCCCCTTTCTTTGGTAAATTATGACTTTATTTTTCGGAGTAATGGGTTTTGGACAACTGGATTTCAGACAACTGGGTTTCAGATAACTGGGTGTCGGACAACTGGGGTGTACGCAAAATTTTCACAAACATGTATATCGATTTTTATACATTATAACATAAGTAACCCATATTGTTCTGAACTAGCCTGCATCCAACCAAACTATAATATAGTCAAGACAAGAATACATGACGCCTCATTTTCTCCATAAAGTTAACATTCATTTTAGATGAAATGCAATACAAGGTCCATTTGAGATCATTTAGATCTTCAGCATCAAAACTGTTCAAGGCATCAACATGCAATATGTCACCACCTGCCATTTGTTAGACGCTGACTGCCAAATGCTGCACTATCCACAAAAAAGTTGGCAATGGCTGGACATGTAAATATTCTTTTACTCCCATCTGTTTTAATTGTTTTGATGTAATTTGTATATGCACACTTTAATAGCCTATTTTAAACTTTAAAACTAGAACAATATGTCGCCACTTGTTGACATAAAAACCAGAAAGCAGAGTGCTTGAAGCCGACGGGAACTCAGAGTGAGGATGTATTATCTAGGGCTACATACCTGAAGGCTTTGGGATTACTGTGTAAAGTTGCACTCTGCTGGGAAAGTTTTGTTAAAGTGTAGTCTTCAAACTGTTTATGCTGCATGTCCATCTCAAGGTCCCGCATTGTGGCACCCGCACCCCGGCATGATGCCTGGATCTGGACCATAGTCTATTAACACTCACTGTTCGTATTCATCAATAATTAAGGGCCTAAAATTAAACATCAAAAATGGTTATTCATATCAAAAAATCAATATTTTTAAAATATTATTTGCACACTGTATATTTATAAAGGTTAGAATTAGACCAGACTTTGACTGAAGGGAATGCTACATGTAATCAATGTATAGATGGCAATTATTTTTACACAAAAAACCTTTGAGAAACAATTATTTTTGAAATTTTCAATTTACAATATCTTATACAATGGGTAATGTTTTTGAGTAAAACAAAGGACCCTTAAAATAATTGAATCAAGAAATACAAATAAATATGAATATCTATACCTTTATATTAGAATGCTGAACCATGAATGTCCTGCATTGTATCTGAGCTAGCTTACTTTGCAACATATTCTGTAAGGAAAACATTGCCTTTAAATTACAGATAGTTATGAGGTTTTTAATGTTTGAGGGATTTGTAATATGAATTTTTTAAGCACAAATCTTCATTCATGTATTCACGTAAGCTGCACAAATTAACAAACTATTAAAATCATGCACTTGAATTTCAGGTTTATGGCTAATTGTACAAATGTTCAATCATTTTTAATAATATTATTCTTACATAACAATCTTCATCTTTACTTTACCACCTAGTTGGTATGTTCCATAATTTTCAATTTATCTTATCCTCAGCCCTTCCCTATATTCACATACTAACAATAATGAAGATTTATTCAAGAGTTCATAAAAAACAATACATGTTAAAATTGTAAAAATTACCTTTCTTGGAATCCATTTCTGTGTTGAGTAATTTAGTAATTAAGGTGGGGTTTCCAAGATGGCCTCAACTAAGGGACCATCTCAACATTATCAAATCTGCAGTCGAGTTTAAAACTACATGTATCCAGATCACAATGTCTCTTAAAGTGGTAATCTAGTTTTCATATTAATCAAAACCCAATTTTCTCCTCAATTTTGGTTTTTCTACTTTTACTCAAAGAAAGTTTTAAAATTTTGCATTCCATTGGAATTTTCAATACTATAGATGAACTTATGAATAATTCATCCACAATCACTTATTAATATAAGAGTATATTTAGTACATGTACTAGTAATTGGTAATTGAAGTGTAGACCTAATATTTTGACAGCCAAAATTGTTTGTGTAATTAGGGGCACAAGGTGACAGCTTGATTATTCATGTTTTATTTCTGACCAAATAGACTGATACAAAAATGAATGAATGAATAGTCCATTCACATCCATGTACTTGTAATTAGAAATGAGATATTGAAATACAATATTACATGACAGGGGTGACTTATTATCTAAGCTGTATTTTTCTAAATTAAATAAGAAATTAAATCATGTTCTTATTTATTTGATTTCTTTCAAAAATGAGGGGTAAATAAGCTACTTACATGGAGGAATTGGATATATTGGTTTTATCAACATCGGAGGGATAATATGATTATCTAATCGAGGGTTCTGATTGATACACTTATACAAGTTATAAGTATGAGTAACATAAAACAATTAGAAAACAAAAGGCTTTCAGTTCAGATATTCAAAGAAATTCCTGCACAATTGAAATGCAAATCTTAAGAGTCGCAGCTGTCACTAGAAGTGTGCTATATCAAAAAATGAAACAGGGGTTACTGTAACCTATAAACTTGTTTACTTACTTTAAACATGTTGAACATGAGTTTGTATAATCATGGAATTTTGTCATGTAACAAATAAATCAAGAATGAAAGAATAGATTCCAAGTTGCTAAATATATGAGGCTTGTTCAATAAAACAGTACAAATGTTTTCCATGTAGAATTCTCATCAATTGAAGTCAATAGTATGTATGTCTAAATATTGAAAAGATATTATGAGGTGAGTATTTGTACTTTAATGAAGGTCAAATCTCAAATCTAAAGTCAGATTTGGACTTTTGATAACTTGTAACTTGATAAATTGGGTCAATTTGAAGCAAGTTGAAAAAATACATATTTGACCTTTTTTAACTTATTTTGACCTGAATAAGTAATTGAAGGTCAAATTTTGAAAAATATTGAAGTCAGTCTAAACAGTATGTGTTAAGTTATTGGAAGTTGTAAGAATTTGTTACAGACGCCAACTGCCGATCGCCAACAGCCGATCGTCAACCGCCGCCACAAAAAACAACATGTCGCCACTTTTTGGTGGTGACATAAAAACTAGAGTTATTTAGGATCAGAATAACAAACACTGCCATTTCAATTTACATGTAACAATAAAATTACAACAAACAAATTTTAAATCTTAATTGCCAATGAAACTAAAGAATATAATTTGACTTAATCACAAAAAACAAAAATATCTATTCTGAAATAAAAAACAGCCAACACATTTTAAATCTTAATTGCCAATGAAACTAAAGAATATAATTTGACTTAATCACAAAAACAAAAATATCTATTTTGAAATAAAAAACAACCAACACATTTTAAATCTTAATTACTAATGAAACTAAAGAACATAATTTGACTTAATCACTAAAACAAATATCTTTTTTCACAGGTTACCTTTCATCATTGAAAATGGGATCTAGATCGTAAATGCCTACAAAGATCATCCTCTACTACAAACCAGTTAGAGGGATGATACTAAGTCACTGGAGGTCACAGGTCAAAAACGGATGAAATACCATTATTTACCAAACTTCATCCTACTTATTTTTCTAGCTTCAGAGATTCTCATTGTTTGAAACTACATGCACATCTATGCACTACTGGCCAAATTGGCAATACTTGGTATTTAGTGAGTAATATGTTGGTAATGTCTACAAAACTACAGATAATACATTTTACGATAAAAAAAGTTACAAATGTTTGAGAGAACAGGCTACAAAAGCATTCTTCAAAACAGGGCTAAGTTAATCCCCTATTGTTTGATCTAAATATCTGTTTATATGATGTATCACTGACATCTATAGACATCTTTCAACACTAGCGGTGACACCACAGCACTTATATCAGACATGTCAAAATTAAATAATGGACAAAATGTCATGTTAATTTCAATTATGTCCTGCAAAATTAGCTAACCTAGATCAAAACTGGCTCCAAGTCCAAGTCTTCACACACTGGTTGGAAGAAAAGAATTTCCTATGGATTCCTCTTACAGTTTGACTAAATCGAGATTGCTCGACACTTGTAAAGACTGCATGTTCACTATTTAGAGGTTATGTCACTATCGTGGCTTTTCAACACTTATATTAGCCCGCTGTCTTGTGTACACTTTGCACTATACATCATTATAGGTATGTTATAAATAAGAGTATGAAACAGTAATATCATCCTAGACATCACATTGATATCATGTCAGCAGTTTGTCCAAGTTATGTATCCAATAAGTTTGAGTAATACAATAAGTCGAGGGAATCCAATAAGTTTGAGTAATCCAATAATCTGAGGGAATCCAATTAGAGATGTACAGCTCTTGACAATGCTCATAATCCCAAAAATATACACACTGTGTTTAATACTGAACTCCTGCAATATTCCCATTACTCCTGTACCTGTCACTTTTGGCAAGACTAGTTCAAGTTTCTCCAGTACATAGAGACATGGATGGATACTTGTATATTGTATCCACTGTAATTCTATATAACTGGTGCTTTAAGAATCTATATCAGGATTATACAGGGTGAGCTCCTTTTTGTTTCTCACTTTCTTTGAATAGTGTTACCACTCCTCCTCCTCATTGCTCCTCTACATTGCTCCTCTTTACAGTTCTTCATTCCCCTCATTGCTCCTTCTCCCAATTGTTACTCCTCTCTCTTGCTCCTCCTCTCCATTACTCCTCCTCTTCATTGCTCCTCATCCTCGTCATTGTTTGCTGTCTCAGTGATAGGTCTGAAGTTGAGAGTCCCACTTCCTCTATCTGGATCTGGCATCCTGAATATCCTTAGCTCTGGACATACTTTTAACTTACTGAAAACATGATATGTACATGTTTATAAATATATTTTAATCTACATATGAAGCATCAATTAAGTTCTAGCCTTAATCCAAAACATGAATATATATGTATATAGATAGCCTTAAGGAGTGTCAATAGATGGCGAGAAATTCAATCAGTGGGTTGGCTTGTTAAGTTAACCATGTAAAATTACTTCAATAATTTTTGTTTGTGTGTTTTCTCGAGATATTTTACTTTAGTGCCTGAAATTAAACCTGGACACATGATTGGTCTATAAATTAAAAATATGTCAAAGTGTTTCTAAATGTACAGACAAATTGTCCAATTGTTCAAGTTAATAAATGTATGGACAAAGCCAGGTACAATGAAGGACCCACGGTCCTGTGCTCACACAGTTTGGAACCTTCAGAGGAATGTATATCCTGACTTTCAAACAAAAATATTGATTTGGATTTGTAGTCTCGAACTTTGAGAAACTTAAATAGCACAGTTGTGTGACCTAGTTTGATGACCTTTGACCTTGAAAATTTTACTTAGTCAGAGCTCAGTAAGGTCTTTTGTGATTAAGCTGACCAAAATTTACATCCAAAAATCAATTTGAAAAATCAACTTTTTTGACCTTTCGAAGGTCACTGAAGGTCAACTAAAGGTCAAATCCTAAAACTAATGTCAGATTTGAACTCCTGGCAACTTGTAGATGTAAATCATTGCAAGAAATGATCAAGTATAAGGCAAACTTTGAGAAACTTGTCAATTACAAAACCTGCCATTGACTTTATACATGAGAAGTTTCCTGAAAATGACCAAGTCCTACTTTTTGTCAAATTTTATGGAGTAAACACCAAAAACTGTAATTCCAAGAGCTTTGAAATCTTCAGAGGACATAAGTTGCATATACAGCAACTACAAAAAGTTATTTGAAAGTTCTACTTCAACAAAGTGTCTAGTATTTACAGAAAATTTGACTTTTTGACGTCAAAATCCGCAATTTCTCGGAAACCGGGCGAACTTGGGAAATGGCGATGATAGGTCAAATAGGCATTATGGATATGCATAAAATGAATGTGGCTATGACTCAATCCGAATAGCAGTTTTAATTTGTGCGGCCAATGTTGACGGACGGACCAACGGACGGACGGAAGGACGGACGGACCAACGGACGGACGCCTGGTCGATCCCATAGGCTCACTGTGTGAGCCAATAAAAGCTTATTTCATGCACTGGACCACGACTGAGCGCATTTCATACCTCATGTCCTGAGGGGTGAGAAAGATAAACTGTTTATCCAAGTTCTGTTTTGCCATTCCCAACATCATATTCATAGAGATCTGTCTGTTAATTGCATCCTGAAATAAATACATACATACTGTATAGAGGTTTCAATCAGTCTTTTGTCTAGCATACATCTAGCAGTAATAAAATTTACAACTTAAACGAGACCTGATCAGATCTTTGTTCTAGTCTGCCCTTGCATCTATAAAGATATCAAGTATGTTGAACTGATCAGCGATTTTCCCCAGAATTTTGATGACAAGATTAAGCTTAAGGAGGCGCCCAAATGCCGACCAACCCAGACACACTAGATGACAAAAATTTAGTGAGATAAAAACCAATTTCAGTCTAATTGCAAACGTATTGGTACAATCACACAAATTTCTAGTAATGTAAAGTTCAACTTACCATGAAAACGTCAAACTCGTCAAGACACCTGAATGGAGACTCCATAGCCTGCCAGAGACTCAACATAAAACACACTGTAGAGAAACTCCTTTCTCCTCCAGACAGTTCCTTGGTGTCTTTTACCTCAGAGAGCGCTCGTTGTTGTTCTCCTGCCCTCGATGCAGGCTGTACCTAGAATAATACCATACAGACATATTAATGCAATGATCATACAAGGGTGTCTCTAAAAATGGAGTCTTATCACATCTTTTTCTATTTTATAAAACCAACTTTAAGTTTGTATGTTAAATAATCTTATCCCATCTGATTGTTGTGCTTTTTGAGCTAGAAGCAAAAAATGAGTTCAGACTTGAGGGAAATGCATCAACACTTGAAACATTTCAACTTTATGAACATACTTAGATAATATTGACTCAGGGGTAAGGTTTATTGCTCTGAAGATTTTAGGTCCCTACTATGGATCATAAAATAGAATATGAAAAAGTATGTGATAAGATCCATTTTCTCTTTTTCATATGTTGAATACCATTTATAATGAAAACTGATAATTCAACCATGTGATATTGAAATGTTTTCAGACGTTATGATACTGAATAAGAAAAGCTTTGAAATATAATTGAATAATAATTTATTATTATCTTCATTTATAGGTTAGGTTCAATTATCATAATATTTAAAAAATTGACAATTCTTAGCTAGTACAGGGTGTACTAAAAAGGCTATTAGGTTGACTGTTCAAAATCACATCAAGACCTTCATATGACAAGTGCAAGTTTGTCTGCAGAGATGGTAGCCATTTGGACCTTGTTCCTTAAATGGCCAGGAAATAGGCCATACACATCCTAAAGTGATGAAACTTTGTCAACTTATAGAACATTGAACTAACTTTAACTATGCCAAAAAGATCAGTCAACTCTGTTGTTTAAAAAGATATGCATTGTTAGTTTGGTTGCACTTTTTGGTACACTCTGTACATACTACATAGCATACATGGAACAATACACATGCATATTTAAAAGTTTTATTCAATGGTATTACACTAATCTAGCTAAAGCATTCTCCCAAATGAATTGCAGCTTGTCAGCTTATATGAGAAAATTATCCCATTAAAATATAGCAAGTGGTTTTTGAAGGGTTTTCATGCAATCTAAAACGGAAGTGACAAAACTTGTGCAGCTGTCTGGAAGAACATATTATTTCTGTTGTGACTTTCTTTGTATAAATCAACAATAGGTTAACATAGAAATGTATAAACTAACATGCAAATGAACAGACTTATTATAAATCATGCCTAAAAATCAACAACAAACCAATATAAACATAAATTGCATTACAATGAGTGTCGGCTAAAAAGGTGCTGAACTACATATTATATGAAACACATTAACAGACACACAGGCAAACACACTTGAGTACAGGGTGTCAAATAAGTCTGTTCTCCCCCCTTAACTTTTTTAATTTAGAAATAACATAGAGTTGGTATATATCATCTTCAAGGGAATTTAATTTGCTGATCACACACCAAATTACAGAGTGATTGGTTAAATTCTAATATTTTTGGAGTATTTTTAGTGATGTCCATATTTCACTTTTTAATAGTCTGTATGTCTCCCCCAGCAGTCCGGATTGCCTCAATTCTACGAAGATATGATCCTGTATAAATCATTCAGAACGTTTAATTTTGGCTGTAATCAACTATTTTGTGATGAAAGATGCCCCTGCTTCAAAAGCTCCCCTGAATGAAACACATTTTACTCTGTAACGATATTGAGAAACATCGAAATCACCCAATGTTGGCATTGTCACTGCAGTATCAAAATTTCATTTTCATTCACTATACCTTGTAATTTTACTTGTTTTGACGTAATCAAAGGTCAACTAGAACCTTACAAGAAACATTGTAGCAATTTTATTAGGAGAAGTTTATGATTGATTTTTTGAGGGTGATCAGCATTTTCCATAAGCTTCAAAATGATATATGGGAAAGTATGATCAATTTAAAGATAAAAAAGTTAAGGGGGGAGAACAGACTTATTTGACACCCTGTATAACAACATCAACAAGAGATCTGAGAGGAAAGCAACTTAAGGTTATATATGTGGAAGAGATATAACAGATAACTATGAACAAATGAAGTTAGGAAATCTTATTTGAAGTAAATGTGTGGATGACATTAAAAGGAGACACTGCGTTTATCGATGAAAAGGAATAAAAAATTTCGAAACACATCACTCACAGTCAAGTGAATACTACAAAAAACTTCTGAAGTAGAAAACAGCATGAGAAGAAATCGGTTATGACACATGCACTGTTTACCCTGCAAAGGTGTTTTTAAATTACTTTTGAACGAATAGATGGCATATTGGTTAACTCTTAATAAGGCAGTATGAATGATCTATATAGGAATTTAGGACATGATAAACATTTTCGATAACAATTTTACAGAATAGAGAAAATTTTTTGACTTTAATATAATTGAAATTTTAATATGGCCTGTTTGAGGTGTTTTTGGTGCCAAACCAAAGTTTGAATACTATCAACCCATTTCAAATACCAGGACGACGAAAAGTTTTTATTTAACTAATGAACACTGAAAAGTATGCAAAGCCTCCCTTTAATCATCAACAGGAAAGAAGCAGGTTGATTAAAGGTAAAATTCAAACAGGAATAATTCACTTCAACATCACAGACTTACATGCATTACTATCATCTCTTTACGATGATCAAAGCGTAATTTTCCAGCGAATTCACGTTCTTGGAGATACTGGTTGAAGCTATATTTAGTTCTAAGTGCAATAAACTGGCGAAACTCATTGTAATGCGCCTTTCTGTTCATCATCAATTTGTCAAGCTTCTGTAACATATAACATAAAATAGGTTTAACATATAATAAGGAGATGTAAGAAGGATGAAGATGTGATGGGACAGTCACAATAGACAGTGATCTCCCCAACAACAGGGGGTAATACTCCCTTCAGAAATTTTGAAAATTAAATGGCACCATATTGAAAATCTGTCTGCACACTTTCAAAAGCATTAAATATTGAGATATTCTGAAGATAATGCTTCCTTTTAAGAATAAATAAAAAAAAAGATATTTGAGATATTTCGACGAGATTAGGATAATGCATCCTTTTGAGAAGAAATACCTGGGAAGATCACTGATGTGTGTTAGTAAATAAAGTACAAGAGTATAATGCGTACCAATACATAAAAGGCATACAGAAGCAAAGCACAAATAAAAATGGTACTTGGTAGAAAACATGTAAAAAACAATCACATAAAAAAACTAAAAAAACTAACCAAACATTTCCGTTTTTTGAAATTGCTATTAGTTATGTGAAATATCAATTCTGATGCTCAATTAGAGCTTGAATTAGTATACTGAAAGAAATAAAAAAAAAAAAAAAAAAATGCAAAGATTCGAAATTCAAAATGGAGGATTTAGAGTGTTTGAGCAAGCCACAAATGTTCAAATGGAAAAAATGTGATATTCTTAGTTATGAAATCCATTGAATTTATAATTGGAAAAGCTTTAATTCCATTCTAGTTTATGATTCTTGAATTCTGATTGGCCCATATGGAGTGACAAGGATGCGATACAACATTATATGAGAGACTAAGAGAACAGAACAGAATGAGTGTGAAATACACTATCAAGAAGCGAGACAGAAGCATAAATTAAACTCTCCATGCAATTTTACACTGAGTTGTCCATTATTGCTTGCTTACTATAACATCAAGACTTTTGCCTTTGTGGGTAAACTTGAGTTTTCCTGAATAGCCATTAACAATACAACGACAACTGAAAAATTGTGATGTGCGATATGCCATGCTCAGGAGAATTCTGTTGTACATTCTGCCTCTCTTCTTCATAGCCATGTCCAATGCCTGAAAATAATTATCTGGCTACAATGTAATAGTTACTTGGATTATTATGAAGAAACGTGGGTTTCCTACAAGAGCATATAGCACAAGCATAAAGTGTGTAATTATACACACGCAAAATGAGAATTGTTCAGATATTTCAAGCGTCTTTGGGTAAAAGAGCAGAACATTTTACATGTAGGGTTGCAAATAACAAAGGTCATATGGAAACAGGTCACAAAGTAAACCCTGCCTTATATCAAAGTTTATACCCTGTAATTAGAAAAAATAATCAAATTGTGCTTTATAAAGCAATTCTCCTGTGTTGTGTGTCAATGTGTTAACCTATAGGCTACTCAATCATAAGTATGATCCAACAGATTATAGCCCTACATTTTACACTATGTGCATCTCTTTTATTTTTCTTTGTTGGTATAATGTGTCACATGGTATAACATGTACTTTAATCTCTAGGATACTACCCAGACTATATTCCAAACTATAGCCTTACAATGTGAACAATGTCTAAGGACTGTTTTTTGTGGTCAAATCTCATCTTGTATTTTTTCTGGTGTGTATTGTCAAGTTGCATTGCTATGTATGAAACTTTAATTCTGTACACTATAGACCTCCTAAAATCCAAGTACCGCTCCGTTCTCAGTGCCAAACTGTCGTCCACTGCCTAAATAACAAGTTTAACATACAAATGCATTCATAAATGTGACCTTTTTGACCTTAAAACTTTCAATTATATTTACACAAATTATTTAATAGAGACCAGATTTTGATGATTACCTACATAAAGAAAATGTGTCATACTTACATGTACAGTAGTTACATATTTAACATTAACAAAATCATTCTATTATTTTGAAGTTATCAATTTACTAAACAAATAAAAACATGCTTAAAATTGAATGTCTTCGAGTCTACAGTATCTGATAATTACTTATAAAGTTTCTTGTCAAATTATTGCTTTATTACAACGAGTTCCACAAGTTATCACTGACTATATGTTGCTATGGTAACAGATATTGCCAATAATCTGTTCACTCTTGAGACAACATGTTTATGTGTGTTTCAAGTCAATCTTAAGTTTACTTCTCTAAATTATTGCAAATTACAAAAGTGTAACAATTGTTACAGATGCCAACACAGAATTCTGGTCACTTAACAGTTGGAGGCTATAATAATATAATGTAACAATGTAATATGGTGTGATTCTTCAAGAAAAATAGAACTCAATTTGAAATCAATTTAAATACAGTTTAACATTTCAAAAAGCTTGAAGTAAAAGAGATTGCAATAACTCACCTTTAGGAAATTTTCCTGTTGCTCCACTTCAAGCCTAATCCGTTCTAACGACTGTTTCTTCTCATGGTACGCTCTTGTTATTTCATCATAGCTTCCTTTGCTGGAATACATGAGACTTTTGTTAAAACAATTCTTAATAGACGTTTCCGATAAATCGTGCATCTTTTGATCCATCAGGGAAACTATAACTTATTGGTTTGATTGATGATGTCATTGGCTGTAGGTAGCAAACTGCCCATTCGAAAATGGTATTAACTTTTTGCTAATTTTATAAAAGTACAACCTATGACATCATCAATCTAGCCAATATATTGTGGTTTCTCTGATGGATCAAAAGATGGCACGATTTATCGGAAACGTCTATTTTTATTATGGAGAGAGGGTAACAGGGGCTTTAGACAAGAAAAAGACAAGGTATTAACCAGCAAAATGTCACCACCTGACAATTGTTACATATGCTATATGTTACAGACGCCGAAATGTCATCCACAAAAAAGTTGGAGACTACTTCTGGTGGTGACATAATTCTACTGATATACTGAATATAGTTAGATACCAATAGATAGTAATCCATTTTGACAAATACAATGGCCTGAACACAAAGAATGCAGCAACAAAAATGATTATTTCTTCAATTTCAGTCAAACCCACAAAATATGTACAGAAGTTACATCCTTATTGTTGAGACATCCATAGACAACTATTAAAATGCATATACAGTATATATCAAATCTCATAGCACTAATCAATCTTAATGTTTTGTGAAGCCACTGCCCCCTCACTTAAACGTGCTTCTTTAAAACAGTTACAGACATCAAACTGAATGCCAGTCACAAAAACAGCCGCAAAAACAGACAAATTATCAATACCTCTTGGGGCCTGTTCTAAGGGTATTGGTACTCGTTTTGAAGGCTTATATTTTACAATATTAACTTGAGCAATATGGGACATCATAGTGATGAGCTAAGTGTCAGGCCATAATGGATATTTCTGCCTGGTAATGTTTCAGGGGAAATGAGATATTATTCAGTGTGTATGATTTTCGTTCAGTTCTCGCTATTTCAGCCCAAGGCATAAACAGAGCTAATATACTAATAATCCCATTTCAGCGGGCGACATAGTGAAACCTTGAACCTCTTGACTTTGGCCCTTAGTCCAAGATCTCACTATGTAGCTCTTTAAAATGATATTCCATATTGGTATTATTACCAACATTTATCTCAAGGGCTGAAATCTTGGCGTTTTCATAATACCTTCTCTCCTCCAAAGCAATCCTTCTCTCTATCTGACTAATCTCACTCTGTATATTCTGTGGTTTACGCTTAACCCTCACCTCTTCACTGACCTGCCTAGCCTTTGCCTCACTCTCCTAAAACATACATGTTAAACACAACATTTACAATTCTCGGTCTGTATATTCTGTGGTTTACGCTTAACCCTCACCTCTTCACTGACCTGCCTTGCCTTTGCCTCACTCTCCTAAAATATACATGTTAAACACAACATTTACATTTCTCACTCAGTATATTCTGTGGTTTACGCTTAACCCTCACCTCTTCACTGACCTGCCTTGCCTTTGCCTCACTCTCCTAAAACATACATGTTAAACACAACATTTACAATTCTCGGTCTGTATATTCTGTGGTTTACGCTTAACCCTCACCTCTTCACTGACCTGCCTTGCCTTTGCCTCACTCTCCTAAAACATACATGTTAAACACAACATTTACATTTCTCACTCAGTATATTCTGTGGTTTACGCTTAACCCTCACCTCTTCACTGACCTGCCTTGCCTTTGCCTCACTCTCCTAAAACATACATGTTAAACACAACATTTACAATTCTCGGTCTGTATATTCTGTGGTTTACGCTTAACCCTCACCTCTTCACTGACCTGCCTTGCCTTTGCCTCACTCTCCTAAAACATACATGTTAAACACAACATTTACATTTCTCACTCTGTATATTCTGTGGTTTACGCTTAACCCTCACCTCTTCACTGACCTGCCTTGCCTTTGCCTCACTCTCCTAAAACATACATGTTAAGCACAACATTTACATTTCTCACTCTGTATATTCTGTGGTTTACGCTTAACCCTCACCTCTTCACTGACCTGCCTTGCCTTTGCCTCACTCTCCTAAAACATACATGTTAAACACAACATTTACATTTCTCACTCTGTATATTCTGTGGTTTACGCTTAACCCTCACCTCTTCACTGACCTGCCTTGCCTCACTCTCCTAAAACATACATGTTAAAAATAAACCTTTACATTTCTATTTTCCCTACCAATTTCTTGAATTACACTTGGGATATGTTAATAAGCTATACAGATGAACACAATGTTTTCAAAATCAATCATATTCTTCAAATCCTGAAATTATTTTCCTAAAATATTGATTTTAAAGAAGACCCTTTAAGATTACTTATTTTATATGATTCTTTGCAGTGATCTATAATATTTATTTCATCATTTAAAACAATGATTAAATTAAATAGTTAATATGAGTAACGACATGTCAACTGAAATCCGAAGATTATGGTGCTGGGGAATTCAACAACTTTTAAGGAAGTGGAAAATTGGGTCTTGACCTCGGAAGCTCCAATTCAAATAAGAAGTGAAGTTATTTTTCATACTCCAAGAAAGCCTACTGAATACATGCACAAATCTTTTCTCAAGAATATTATAGGAATATAGGAAAACTCATCGATCTATGTATATTTTATGGATACAATTCCAAGATTTCAAACAGTTTCTCATTCTTAAAATTTTCACCAAAAATTCCTGGCATTTTTGACCAAGAAATGTCTCACCCAACTTAAAAGAAATCTGACCACTTTTATGATAAAGATAAAGTAGTTGTGTTACCTCTACGTGTTTCTTGTGGGCATCATACTCGGCAAGACAATCTTTGATCTTGGCCTGATGCTCCTTCAGCTTGCCTTCATAATGCTTCTTATCATGTTTAGCCTTCTCTTTGTTAGCACTAGCAGTATCATGGTCTTCCTGAAATAACAAATATTAAACTTTTGGGTAATCTTGGGTCAATCTCTTGTCAATTTTATAAATAAGGGAAATTCAAGAATTTTGCATGACAATTTGGATATCAAAATATTGATGAAGTTGATGCAAAGAATCGGGAGATCAATTCAATATATTCCTCTCTCCCACTGCTGCTTCTGCCTTTACATAATTCTAAGCTTGCACACAAACATTTTTCAAGAATTCAGTCTTAATCTAAAGTTAAGTTTAACATTAGATCAATTGTACAAACCTTTAGTTTTTCAACTTTTGTGTGGATCTCAGTGATCTTATCATTTATTGCTTGAAAACGTTGCTCTGCTTCTCTGCGCACTTTGTCTGTGGCGAGCTTCCTCTCATTTGCAGCTTCCAGTAGTTCCTGAAGCTCTGCCATTTTATTCTTGTATCTAGCTACATCCTCTTGCTGTAACATGCACACAGCTTTGAAATTTCACCAAGTTTTGAGATTTGCATGTAATGATTATCAATGACTTTAATGTTCTCCCTATTAGAGAACATGTTTCAATAATGTACCCAGTTTTTACATGTACTCGAAGAACTTTGATCTACAGATATTTTGTTACATGAGATTCTGCATGACTTAACTTTTTAAGCAATTTGAAAAATGTAAATAAATTATCATCCCATTAGAATCCTTTAGAAAACATGCTGCAATGTGTTTTTAGAAAGAATAATATATTTTCAGCATCCTCACCAGCACAAAAACATCTTCTGGCTCTGGGTCTTCTTGCAACTCAAGCTCTTCTTTCTCCTAAAAAAACAAATGATAAATCAACACACATTTTACCCATTAACAAATATTTGCTAATAAGAGTAGAATAACAAAGGTCTATCCATCAACGAACAACTATACATGGACAACTTACTGCTTGAATTTTCTGCAGCTGGTCCCTGATTTTCATAATTTCTGTCTCACTACGTCGTTTTTCCTTTTCTTGGTTATTCATCTGAACTGTCAGATTTCTGTTTTCTTGGTTAAGCTGCTTCATCTCCTGAGTGTTAACTTCCAATTCTTGCTTTGTTTCTCTAAAATAATGAGTGAACAGATTAATGTTGGCTTCAAATAAAATGTCAAAATGGTAATGGCCTTAAATATTGTGTTGGGGATGGTGTCAAGATGTGTCCAGATGAGTTTTGAAAAAAAAAATTAGTCTCATGGTTTAAACTCGGGGTGGGTCGGGTCATAATTGTATGTTGATATTAGATAGGTTTAGATGTAAACTATTTCCCATAGTAAAATACTGTACTGTGACATCTGTTTCCAACTGAGTAATTGATTAAGTCAATGACATGGTACATTGCAGCCTGGTCCGAGGATCCCGACCCATCCCTAGTTTAAACCCCCAGCCCCACATAATGAAATCTGAAAATGTTGACTTGAAAATCAACATTTCTACTTGCAATAACAAGATTTACCCCTTCATCTAACAAAATTAACTTTGCTTTTCCACAACTGCCCTTAATATGGATATGCATAATGAAAATAGAAATGAAGAAGGTTGTCTTTGTCCCATTCAATATAAAATGTACAGACATGTACATGTAATAACTAACCTGATTTCATCTTCCACACTGGCTTTTAAGTATTTTGAATTTTTCTGATCGGAGGAGTAGTAACGGAATGAAGGTTTGGAGAGGACTTGATCTCCTTCTATGGTAAATACCTATAATATATACAAGAACACAAATGTGTACAAAATGTCCCCACCAATGGGTGATCCCGTCATAATGGTTATCCTAAAAATGAGTAGACAAGACTTTACCAACACAATTTGAGGATGGAAAATCCAAAATGGCCACCTTAAAATTTACCCAGAATGCCAAAAATTTAGTCAGTTCTAGATTTTCATACTAAGAAGCACCCCTGAAAATTTGAAATTGATCCGTCACACAGTTAACCAGAAAAAATGTAAGCAAGACTTTACAGACAAGATTTTAGGATGAAAATCCAAAATGGCTGCCTTGACATTTACCCAAAATGTCAAAAAACTAATATGTTTCTAGATTTTCATACTAAGAATTATCCCTGAAAATATGAAATTGATCTACTGAACGGTTCACCTGAAAATGCGTAGACAAGACTTTACAGAGAAGATTTTAGGACAGAAAATCCAAAATGGCTGCCTTGATATTTTACGCAGAATGCAAAAAAAACTAATCAGATGTAGATTTTCATACTAAGAATCATCCCTGAAAATTTGAAATTGATCTACCACACGGTTCACCTGTAAACGTGTAGACAAGACTTTACAGACAAGATTTTAGGACGGAAAATCCAAATTGGCTGCCTTGGCATTTACCCAGAATGCCAAAAAAACTAATCTGATCTAAATTTTTATACTAAGAATCATCCCTGAAAATTTGAAATTGATCCACCAAACGGTTCACCTGAAAACGTGCAGACAAGACTTCACAGACAAGATTTTAGGATGGAAAAATCCAAAATGGCCGACAATAAAAAAGTGATTATAAGTTTTTGCTTATTTCTTTTTACAAAATCATCACATATACCTACTGTTAACAATAACATAGAGTTTTACAAGAAAGTACATCTGAAATTATTTATAGAGCTACTAAATAGTTAAAGTATGAAAATCAAAAACACCATTCAATATAATACAAAGTATTATCGCGCGCTAACTTTTCTTAAGACATTCAAAATGGCTGCCATGACTGAGCTAATAGGTTCAAAACCTATTCAGATCTAGAATGAAGTGAGCTGAACAAGATGTTAAAGTTTTAAAAGCAACTGTGAAGCCGTTTTTCTTAAAGTTTGCAGACAAGGATTTTAGCATTTGACTTCAAAATGGCCGACAGGAAGTAGGTTTCGAGTTAAATTTTTTTCATCCATATCTGTATGCACTCATAAGTTATCAATGAAAATTTGAAGGTGATAACTGTAGCGGTTGTGGAGAAAACTCCCGGACGTACGTACGGACAGATGAACGGACGGACGCACCTAGGCCGACAATATGGCCCCACACTATGTGGTGGGGACATAACAAAACAGAATATCGCACCCGATGAGCAATACTTCATAAGTGGGATTTAATCCAACTGGTTAATTTGCTGATTGGTCAAATTTTATCATTTTCCAAATTTTAATTTTCTTAATGATAAGAAACTTCCGTTTTGATAACATTTTGAAGATAATATGACAACTCACCTCCTTGCAGTTGTGTGGGGGATTGTACATCATTGTTTTCCTAGCAATCTCACTGCTGGGTATGATCATCACACACTCAATGGTACGCTAAAAATCAATTTTTTTATTGATATTTTTAACTTCTAAACAAAGCATTAATGTGCAAAATGTCACAACCTGCCATTTGTTACAGATGGCAAACACCTACCACCATCACAAAAAAGTTGGAGACTATATCAATGTTACCACTTGTGGTGGTGACATAATAAAAACATAATGAAAGAGAAATTCTTCAGCGGTGGCAGCAATTTTTCGATAATCATTACTCAGTACACCTGAGGAATGTCCAGTCAGATTCAAAATTTCTTTCTTAACCTAAGGAAATGTTAAAAGTATTGGTGTAGATTGGAGTGTAACTGTTTCCTAGGAATTTATTGTTCTTCAAGGGGTTATTTCATTGTATCTTTTGTAGCTCACGCTAACAATTTCCCTCCACTGCCCTCCTTTTATTATCTCTCATATGGCTTACTCTTTTCAATTGCGCAAATCTCAATACGTGTTAGAAATCATTCTTACTTGATCAATGAGTGTGTTAATGATGACAGGGTCCTCTATCTCTAGGACATCTAGCACCGTATCGTACTGATCATGACGGGCTCGCTGAAACAATGAAACATCTTCAACTGTGAGTTGCATTGTAAATATGATTCATAATATTCAATGGACATTCAAGGTATCTCCATTATTACATATCTACGAGGGGTGACCAATAAGGAATGGACGCTTTTTTACACAGATACTTTTTATCGACCAATCCCTTTGATTTTCTTACCAGTGATACATCATTCAATCATCTATCAATTCTTAAGATTTGAAGACAAAATATGTAATACATGTTGATATATCCTTATTTCCGTGAAGGAGGTACAGGTATCCCGGGACTGACATTTACGTCACAAATTTATTTTATAGCCAGTCTGGCATATTTCAGTTAGATTTGAACTTTTTGATATGCAACAAGTGTTGTGTTGTTTGAAATATTTTGCTGACTGATAACACATAAACGGTGATGTCAACGTGTTGTATGGTTGGTGTTTGCAGTTAAATTTGAGAAAACATTGTGGAAGGAGGGGTTGGTGACAGAAGGGAGCACCCTACTCCATAATGCACCTGTCAAAAGATTCAAAATGTCCAGAATACAATATCCCTGGACCTCAACTGAGCCCTTGGAGGGGCCCTTGGCCAATGCACCATTTTGTCCAGATCTGCCCACATGTGACTTATTCATTTCTATACTTGTACATGTATTACTAATTTCTATAGAAAGGACACAGGTTTAATGACATTGATGAAATAAAACAAGCTGTGCCACTGCATCTTGCTTCCACGTCAGAGAATGGATTCGGTCTTGTCTCACAATCTTGGATTAAAAGGATGAGGAAGTGTGTTCCTATTGATGGAACCTATGCAGAGGGCCCTGTAGAATGAATGTGGCATGAATAGAATACCACATAGTGATGATGAAATATTCAAAATCAAGTATGGCATATCAAAATGGCGTAATTCATGATCATCATGGTTAGTTTTGTTCAGCCTGCATTCAATTGCATTGCTTGTTAAACAAGCTAAAATAGCTTCATAATGTGTGACATTATGTCAGCCCCAGGGTACCTATACCTCCTTCACGGAAATAAAGATATTACATGTTTTGCTTTCAAATCATCGGAATTGATAGATAATTGAATGATGTATCACTGGTGAGAAAATCAAAAGGATTGGTCTATAAAAAACATCTGTGTAAAAAAGTGTCCATTACTTATTGATCACCCCTCGTAGATGTGACAACCATCAAAAATCAAAAATGATAGAGATTTACAAATTTTCGAAGACAGTTTACCCAAAGAAGATTCAGAAATAAATAGACTTGTAAATCTCTATCATTTTTGATGTTTTTAACACTTATTAACATACATTCGAGCCACTAAAAATAAATTGAGAATTGTTTTAGTTTGTTAACTGACTGTTTGTTAACTATACCTATGTGTATTCTGACTGTAACATGCTCTTCAATTTTCAAGATCAACATCATTGCTTAACTTACATTTTGTGAGACGTCATAGACATTCTGTTTAAATGCCCCTACAATGGTAGTTGGTGTCTGTCCTGGTGGGCAAGCACGCTTGAATATTCCTTCAAGGACTTGGTTATCATGGTGATCATGTACACAGAAGGACTTCATAAGGTTTTTTAAGCAGCACTCTATTGCCAGTGCATAGTCTTGGTTCCTCAATTGCATACAAGCACCTACATATATTGAACACATGTTAATGCTGAACCAGAACAACGGCAACGCCAAAGCGTAGCGAATCCCATCAAACAGAAATGGCTGGCATTTTTACAAACGAATAGCAAATATCATAAAACAACACACCAGAAAGGCCACCATTTTCAAAATGGTTGCTCATTAGCGAAGTTGTCACCAGAAGAAATAATGTGCTTTTAAGTAGCCACCTCTAAAATTTTTGAAAAATCGCACACGTACTTGTAAAATAACACACATAAAAATGGTGGCCATTTTTCAAAATGGCCCACTACTCCCCAAAGTTTTATTAGACAATGTGCCATGCTTAAAGTATTCACATATCAAATATGAACAAAATCGCTCCACTACTTTTCGAGTTATAGTAAAATACGTTAAAATGGCGGCCATTTTTCAAAATGGCCACTGTCTACCAAAAGTGTCATTAGATATAGACAGCGTGCCATGCTTATAGTATTCACATACCAAATATGAACAAAATCACTCCACTACTTTTCGAGTTATAGTAAAATACATTAAAATGGTGGCCATTTTTCAAATTTTTTTTCAAAATGGCCGCCTTTTACCAAAAGTGTCATAGGACAGTATGCCATGCTTATAGTATTCACATACCAAATATGAACAAAATCGCTCCACTACTTTTCGAGTTATAGCAAAATACATTAAAATGGCGGCCATTTTTCAAAATTTTTTTCAAAATGGCCGCCTTCTACCAAAAGTATCTTTAGACAGTGTGCAATGCTTATAGTATTCACATACCAAATATGAACAAAATCGCTCCACTATTTTTTGAGTTATAGCAAAAATCGTAAAATGACGAGTAAAGGCCGCCATTTTCAAGATGGCTGCCATGTGCTTCTTTAATATCTACATTTGTAGCATTATTAATGTCCTTTATAATTCTTTTACATTTAAAACATATTGCTATTACAGTTTTACATATTACACCTAAATTACTGTAAAATCGGCACTAAAATGGCCGCCATTTTGAAATGAGTGGCCATTTTGAAAATCTGCTTTCGAGCAGAACTTCTACCCCAATAGGGTATATGTGTACAAAATATGAACAAAATCGGGCCAACGGTATTTGAGTTATTGCCCGGACGGACGGACAGACGGACGGACGGACGGACGGACGTACGTACGGACGTACGGACGGACGGACGGAGGCGTTCCCTATATCCCTCCGAACTTCGTTCGATGGGATAATAAATACAGTAGAAACTGCTAAGTGGAACACCTATGTAAAAGGAACATGTTATTTAAAGTCCTGCAGTCAACGGACTCCATGTTAATGAACCTATGTAACATGTGATTTATGGAGCAAAAGCTGGCCACTGTTTTTTTCTTTCTGAAATAATGAGGTAGTTGACAAAGGGCAAAATAAAATAAAACCTCTATTTGATCAAACATTTGTCATATATCATAAATTGAGCAACAAAATTCATATGAGACCAGAAACTGCAGCATGTCGATACTTGTAAGGTTAGATCCCCACTTGGGTGAACTGACTTTTCACATCAGCCCTAAGCACAGGATTTCATTCTGTGTTTTCTTTAACTAATGATTTGAATTTACAGATAAATTCACAATTTATTCAAAACTATCATTTTTCACCCAATTGAGAAAAAATCTTAAAGAGCGCACTCTTCCAGGTGAGGTCTTACCCAATGGACCAATTGGCTTCTTGTGAAATCTGCCCTGTTGGTGTGCCTGGTTTATAAGATTCTGCAAGTCTGGCATCCAGGTTCCAAATCTCTTCAATCTGTCTTTACTAGAAGCCTCAAGGTCCTTCAAGAATCGCTTCTTTTGTTCTATATTATTCTGCAGGTCTCGCTCCTGGCGTCTGGAATATTTAAATCGAATGACAAACTATTACAAACCATCACCCACAGATTGAGGAAAGTTATAAAACACAAGAACCCCAGAAAGCTGAAATAGTATCACTGACCCGCCTAAAACCCAGGCCACACTCCAAATTATAACAAGATTTTTATCGATGCAATAATAGAGATTTATATAACAATAATTCTTACTAAAAAAACTTTGATTTGCCAGATACCAGTCTACCTACTTTTTGCCATAAGATTCCTCTTTATATCTGGTAATTGCCCCAAGATATTGTCTGACTTCATGTTCCTTTGTGGATTTCTGAGCTTCCAGTATTGCCATCTGTCCCGTTAGTTCTTCGATCTTTCTCTCCCTTACTGCCTTCTCGGTGTTGATATCACTGACACTGGAAAATACATACATATACATACAATACAGGTTACATATGATCAATGTTAATTAATCATTGGTGTGAATTCATTCTTTTCCATGACTGAATGCATGATAAGAATGATTGAATAGTGTAAATCCTACTAATAATTGGTATGAATCCTTACCTTGATTGAATGGTGTGAATCCTTATTATGAGTGGATGGTGTGAATCATTACATTGACTAAATGGTGTAAATCCTGATCCTGATCGAATAGTGTAAATCCTTTCCTTGATTGAATAGCGTGGATCTTTACCAAATTGTGTAAGTCCATAAATCCTTGCTCAAATGGTGTGAATTAGTGTGAATCATTACATTAACTGAATGGTTACCCTGACTGAATGGTGTGGATCCTTACCTTGATTGAAGGGTGTGGATTCTATCAAGAGTTTCCTGTAGATCCCGCCCAACAGTTGTGATTTTACTTTGCAGCTTTTTTGGTTCGTACTGAAAGGTCAGTGCAAAATCAAAATAGATAATATATGGGCACAGTGACAATATGAACCAAATAAACAGAGAAACAGTACTTTTCAGCTTGGCTGTTGATTTTAAATGATCCTTACATTAGGCCTAATATACTGAACTGACACATGACAATAGGCACACAAATGACTTAGAGACATAACACTGTCCACAAAATGCCACAATGTGTGCTCTGTATGCTCATATAGCAATTTGTTTCCACCAAACATTCTCATGGAATTGGAACATTAATTTGATATCCTATTAAAGCCATATATGAAAGCAATATCCCTAAATGTAGATATCTTACATTGACTGCCTGGCAAGCTTTCTTAGCTTCCTTCAGCTCAGCATTTGCTCTATCATGCTCCGGTTTATACTCCGTAACTTCTCCACTGATTGCCTGAAGCTGTTCAGTTATTTCTTTGTAGCATGTGCTATGTTCATCAACAACTTCCTAAAAAACATTGATTTTGCTATATTACATCAACTTGAGAAGTGTTTTGTAAAAGTGTGATTTCAAATGATCGATCCACATTTTTGTTGTAGCTCAACTAAAGAATTTATTTAATAGGTATGAAAGTATATGCAAGGTGCATATTTTGCAAGTTTCAACTTTCAAGGAAGTGATCATTTTTGACAAAGGAATGATTAACAAATAATTTGATTGGTACTTAGCTCATTTTAAAATTTTCCAAACATTTTAGGCTGAACTTACATTAAACTGAAACAAAAATTAAACAATAAACCTGTGCTTTCTGGACTGCAGCCACAAACTTTGGCAGTCTTGCTTCTGCAGTCTTGTGCTCTTTCTCTTTGATATCTCGGACCTGAAAGGTTAATTACAATTTTTATTTAATGTACGGAATCTTCTTTCTTTGTGCCAACTAACTTGGGGATGGTATCAAAATGTCAACAAATGTGAAAGAATAAACTCCATTTAATTAGGGAGGGGGGATAGATGAGAATTTTATTTTTAAAGAAGTTGATTTTTAAAAAACAAAACTGAGTCCAAAATTTAACTTTAAGCTTTAAGGGGGCAGGGGGATCAAACCAGAATTAAATTAACTCTGTTTTTCCACAACTCTATCAACATCACTTACAATATTTGAATAGTTTCACAATTCTGTAAGTATACTTCAAAATTCTATATATAGTATACGTAGTACTTTAATTATAAACTTATCTTGTTTTGAACCATATTATGGTTTCTTGAAAACAAGATAGTGTCCAATATGCTTTTCTTAATAAAATTCTTTTCTTGTCTCTCATGTACTGCAATACTCTTCCCATAGATTAACTTCACGTAAAATGCTTGTTTACACACCTCTCGCTTCTCATTCACCATAGCCCAAGCCAATTGATTGTGCAGTCCCTCAATTTTCTTCTTCATTCCAGTAAGAGCTTCACAGGCGTCGTATCTCTCCTTGCATTTGCTCAGTTCATCCTCCAGCTGAGGCAAGGACTGACAACATAGCAACAACAATTATGAATGTAATGACTGGAGTCCATATTCAATGTACAGTATTAGCAATCTTAAATAACAAAAAGACAAAATCCCTCCCAATAAATTTTGTATGTACCCTATGTACTTGGTAATGAGGTTAAAATTAACAAATAATTACAGAGACTTTTGTATTTGATCATCATGATTTAGTCTCAACAACTAGAATTGCCATGGTTTGTTTGCCATAGTGCAATGCACAAGAAACTTGATAATATTTCAACATTAACACAAGGCATCAACATGCAAGATGTCACCATCTGCCATTTTTTACAGACACCGATGAACACCAAACTTTGAACACTGTTGGAGACCTTGACTATAACATTAAAATAATTCCAGCTGTCCTTTCAGCTGTTTCTTACCTTCTTCTTGGACTCAACTATATTCTGGGATATACTTTTAAGTTCGTTGGCACTGGCATAGTCATACTTCATCTGTTCTAGCTGAGTGGCACGTAGGAAAAACTAAAAGAAGTACATGTATGTTAACATGTGAGTGGTTACAGGGTGCGACATTAATATTGACCGATAGCATAATGTTTAGTGAATTTTCCCCGCACCAGCTGATAATTAGCAAGTGTAGGGAAATAAAATAACAATGTTATGCAGCTCTGACCACACCCTGTTGGTGATATTTTGTATATATGGAAATTATTAGATAGACATCTCTCCCAACATTGCGATGCAATACAATATACAAAACTTTTATCAAGTGAATGTAATTCAATTTTAAAACATAAATGTTTTGTACTTACCTTATACTTGTCATTTGGGGATTTTGAGTTGAGGAAGTTTCTACTTGTGTCCTGGTTTAAAATGGCTACAGGATTCTCTACTTGAATATTGAATTGATCAAGAATCCTTGTCAACTCCTCTCGTTTCTTGGACACCTCTTTGCCTGAAATGAAACATGATTAGCATGATTAAGTATATGATATACCCTGAGCTCAAAGAATAGTTCACAACCTTCTTATTAGGTGTGATCATTTAAAAATTGCATTTTGTGTTAAAACATTTGTTTTCTGTCAATTGGACAATATTGACTTTGAATAATTACCTGACTTAGATTTAAGACTGTAACTGCTCCCGCCACTTGCTTGTATTGTCCGCTCTACAATAATGGAGTCTCCATAGGCCTCATGTTTGTAGGCATCTGGCCCTTTATGGTTTCTCAGTGTCACTCTCACTTGTGCTGATCTACAAATATAAGCAAAATAAATTAAATCTTTCTGTTATGCAATGAGTAAGAAGTGTATTTATCATCTCGGTCTTTTCCCCCGCATTTTCCTCAAATGCGGGCAAATTGCAAGTTCCCACAATTCTAATCAAAATTGGTCCAAAATATGCCAAGATGACAGCTTCTTTTTATCACTACTCAAATTTTAATAGGTGGGAAAATTCTCTTTGAGGTTTGAATAATTTTCCCTTTTCAATGAATGCAAATGTATTATTAAAAGAGAGATAATTCAACGCCAAGTTACATTCCTTGATGCAGATTGAATTTGAAATGTTGAAATAACAATGCTATACTTACGATTTGCCATTCTTGATGAAGTTCTTGATGGATGAGCCTCTGTTGGTTGCTGATGATTTGGCACCAAGGCCAACAACTAATCCTGAGAGAATTGCACTCTTCCCACCTACAAGAGCAATAAAACATACTAGATTACTCCACAGTTGAATGCCATGTGACAAATTACCCTAACAATAATCCAGTCCAAATAAAAAGGGTAAGATCATTAGGTTTATTTGATATAACCATAAGATTAGTACATGATACTCTGTTTAATTCATAAGTGTCACTGCTAGTAAAATTGGTTTCAGGAAGATCTTCCTGAATATTAACAGCACAAGTCTGACGAAGCACTGAGAATATTCACAGGCAAGTCTGACCAAGCAATGAGAATATTTACAGCACAAGACTGACCAAGCACTGAGAATATTTACAGCACAAGTCTGACCAAGCACTGAGAATATTTACAGCGCAAGTCTAACCAAGCACTCAGAATATTTAAAGCACAAGTCTGACCGAGCACTGAGCATATTTACAGCACAAGTCTAACCAAGCACTTCGAATATTAACAGTACAAATCTAAAATAAAGTACTTACTTCCATTTCTTCCAATGACAAAGTTCACTTGCGGACCAAACGTGAAATCCAGCTTTGTGTGACACATGAAATTCTTCAGAGATATATTCTCTACTATCCCATACTCAGCCTCGTTCTAAAAGCATACATTTTACTTCATTTACAGTAACAGTACCATTTAAACTGTCAATCCATCAACAATGTTTGGACAAATGAAAACACAATTGGTCTCAGCTCCTACTTTTGCTTCGTTTTCGAGGAATTTTGCACCCACTTTTTGGAAAAATCCAGAGACAGACAACTTACTTGCTTCGTTGTGCTGACAATGTCACTACTTTGTGACAGGTTGTTGTCATCATCTTCACTATCAGATTGAAGCTCAGGTTTAGCTTTCTTGGAACCAGATGGTCCAGCATCTTGACCATTCGATTTGCGTTTCATTTTCTAGTAAGGTCTGAAACAACAAATAAACAAGGCATTAACATGACAAAATGTCACCACCTAGGTTACTGCAAATTGTTACCTCACTCAGTAATGCTTATAATGTAAGGTTATATCAAAGGCTCCCAAGACAAGAATGTAGAGATTGGATTAGAACAGGATTATCCTGCCTAGTGCCCCAAAAACATCATAAGGCCTTTGGGTGGAATAGGTCCACAAAGTGGTGACTCTGACATTGCTGGAAAATTTATGTGTTCAAGGCTGTGTGAGGCCATCCTCTGATCACAGGGCTTCAAAATCGGGAATATATTCTTTCTTTTTACCTCCTGCGATAAGCAGTTTGCATTTCCCCGATTAAGAACTCGCAATCTGATTGGCTGTCGCAACACTGCGACAGAAATCATGTATAAGTCATTGCGCATAATTAGATCACATGATTCCAAATTGGTTATAGCAGGAGAAAGAAGGAGGTACAGATTCTGGATACCTGCTTAGGAGAATGGTGTGGCTCGCGATGTGGGAATTCTGTGAGCGAGGAGAAATATGTTCGGGAGAGAGGTACTTGTGGATCACAACTAAAGAATCAATATTTTTGTTGTTAGAACTGTAGTTAGGGTGGAAGGAACATAAATCGCGAGTTCGGAACTGATGATCACGTTTGTGAAAGTCTACGAGTCCTCATGATCATGCCTTGACTAGTATGTATCCAACAGACCGAATATAATATTCGGTCTGTTATGATTGATATATTTCCTGTGGAAATCGCGGTGATATTTTTTGCACATAAATTTCTCGTTTATTACAAGAATGTTCACCTTGAAAATTGGTGAATATGTTGAAGAGATGTTCATCTTAAACTAGAAGCAAAAATATTTGTATAAGGCGGGTACAAGTTGATATAAAATAATGAAATGTTCAGACTCACCAAAACTTCTGGATGTGTTTATAAGTAGATCGCGAAATCAATGTCAAGGACGTTTGAGTTCACGAGATCCAAACGAGATATGCAAATTTTTGAACTTCGACAACACATGACCACTTGATTACCTCGGCCTTCTTTATGAATATTTCCGCTCTATTTACTATAAATGAAGAAAATTAATCGGGATAATGATAATAAATGACTAGATCTAATAAATTCCCGCACAAATGGAATTTATCAACATGCTTCCGTCCGCTCCACGTGTTATTTGTTTACAAATAGACTGACGTCACTGGCTAAATCTCGTTTATCGTGAGAATTGGCATTGCCAAAATGGCTTGACCTAATCAATGGCTTCGCTACAAGAAGCGTCTGTACATTTTATGAATATCTTCAGTAAGAGGACAATATACGAAAAAATAATATTGTAAGTACTTTTTAAGGTAATCATTTTATCATTTAACAAACTTATTTGTAACATTTATACAACACCACATTTTACAATAGGTGACTTACAGTCTGAATATTTATTCAGACGAAGGATACAGTCTAATGCCTCACTGGCGGATTAGGGGGGGGGGGCCCAGGGGCCCGGGCCCCCCCCCCTTGGGTGGGCCCAGAAAAAAAAAATTGGGCCCAAAAAATTTTTTGGGCCAAACAAGGCCTTCAGGCCCCACTTTTTGGTCATTACTGGGCCTTTTAAGGCCTTATTTGTTAATTTCAGGCCAAATTTTGAAGAAAATGGGCCTCAAAATTTCAAAATTTGGGCCCACTTTTGGATTTTAGGGGCCCAAAATTTTTTTCCGCGCAAGCGCGGACGTTTTTTCTCTGACCTGAAATTTGGGCCCCCCCCCTTGTTGGTTCCTGGATCCGCCCCTGTGCCTTGACTGCAGAGTGATAATTTCATGATTTCAAGTGATTTGGAAAGTTGAATTCAAAATTCAAAAATATTACCAAACTACAGATATAGATCCACATTATCAAAGTACATGTGTGTTACCTATATACTTAGGGTGATTTGAAACATATCTGACACAACATATAATACAGGTAAAACATACGAAATCCCAAAATAAAATAATGTGTGAAAAATGCATACCTTTCAAATTTCAAAATGGCGCCAATGAAAATAGACTGGAAACCGGATATGTTTTTGATATCTATGGATTACACAAAATACGGATCTACGAATAATGAATGTATTAAGTGTAAATATTTTTAAGACTATGTAAAGGCAAATTATTCTCACAGATATGGCATTTGGGATACAGTACTCACATAAAAATCATTTATTTTAATAGCTCTTCAAAATTGGAGGATGGCAGTAACAAATAAACGAATACTTTATGTTGGTAAGTTTTGTGGTATATCTTCTTACAGTTCCAATTAATTCTTAATATTGCCTAGTGTAAGCAATGTTTAATATATGTTTTATCGACAGGTTTGTACTTTTTAAAATACATAACGTTGATTTCCTTTGAATACTACTCCAAACTAAAAGCATTTAAAGTAACTGTATTATCGCCCATCATAATATTCATAAAACTTCACATGGATGATCTGAATAAGATGATTCTTTTGGACCGTCATCTCCGTTCAGGCTTTTGGCTGAGAATTTCCAGAAATTAGAGATGTGGTCGAGGTCGATGTTAATATTGTTTCAATTTGATTTGCGATTCACTACCAAAAGTCAATGGTAAATTTCATACAGTGCTCACCATAAAGAATTTCAAAAGCTATGGAAATTACAGTTATTAATTTCTCCGTCCTAGTAAGTCCAGATATAGTGGAATTCATATCCATAATTACAAATAAGAACTTAAAAATTTGAAGTGGAATTCACATGTTAATGCCGACTCTTCAAATGTTGAGGTGATTTTAGAGCCGGATTACGCGGCAATGTGGATTGGCTCCCAGAATGCAACATGACACGTGTCAGCTTTCAAAATGCCGTTCCGTAAATAAGGTTACCTGATGTTGCATTCTGGGAGTCAATCCTCCTTGGATCACAAACATGGCGATTCATGAAAACATTCGTTCGATTTGGTAGGGATTTATCTATCATTTGCAGGTATGAAGCTTTGGATTCATTTATTGTGCTACTTAAAGTCAATGGGAATTATTTTTCTACCGCTTGGGAGAGTTTGAGACATGATACTTAGAATTTAGCTCATTGTGACAACTTTTGAGGGTTGAGATTTACTTTTGCATCCCATTTTATGCGGCATTTTGTTGAATCCTTTTTTTGATTGTTTACCATAAAAAACAATATGGCCGACAAGAAAGTAAAAAAATAATATGAAATTGATTAATCTTAAAAATGTGATTTATCTGCACAGCTCCTTTAATTTTGATCACAAATATATCAGGCAAAAGTGTAACTGCACACAATGCTTGCATATTTTGAAATGTAACTCTCGCATATATTGTCTAAAACTCATCAAATTGATGTCATCAAAATGGAAATTTACTCCAATTTGAGTGGCAATTTTCTTAAAAACCAGAGAAAACCGGAGCTTGATATCTTACAAAACCACATTTTAAAGTGTGTTTATTCAGACAAATGTGTAAAATTAAAGGTTCAAGACTCCAATTAGCAGGTAAAGTATCCCTCCTTGCGACTTTCTTGAAGAATAGACAGCCATTTAGCTGTGAAAAGATCAAAAATACTTACATCTTCAATCATTTAAACTTATCCCGCCATTTGTTTACGATGTTGTGCCTCCAAAGCAAGAAATTTAGACACAATTACGATATCCCCTCCTATTTCCATGTTAAAAACGTGGGGTGACACCGTAATTGGAACAAAAGTCGTTTCTTCCGGTGCACAGCACATTGACCAATCAATGGATCGGAATCAATGGATCAGAGCGTAATCTGGCAGAGAATCGTCAATTGAAATTTTCCACGCCAATTCTAGCTGAAATTCATTCTATTCTACGATAAATACTGCATATGCTATAAAAGATATTATCAGATGTAAGTATAAGGTGTATTTGAAATATAAGACCAACATTTATGCTTTGAATTATGACAGTATACTATAATAAAATTGAGATAACAGTGTATTGAAAATTGAAATGAAGTGTGACAGTGACAAGCATGCGTAATTATGTTGAACCAACATGAAAAATTTCAGTTGGAAACTAGTTGGGAACTATCTAAGTGTAAAAATAAAAGATACTCAGTATAAACACTCATTATTCAGTTGCTATAGCCCATTGTATTGGCATGTTTATGACCACTATTAGAATTGTATAACTTTGTCAACCTCTCGATTTTGGGAAGCTAAGACGTCTTGCTGTTGCCGAAGATCAAATGTGACTTTGAATAAAACTTTTTAATCTAAATATGCATCCTCTTTTTCTTGAAAACAGTATCATCTAGTTTTATTTTCTATTAATTTATAGTACATGTACTATATTCCTGTTATATCTCATGCAAGTCTCCAATAATCAAGTGTGTAAGTTTTGGTGATATAAAAAATGCCACACACATAAAATTCTGGATTTTGAAGAAATATAAATGCATTCTCAATGAATATTAATTTTTCAATTGATCATGTAGCTTTATCACATTCCAAATGAATGAAGTCCTGCCAGAAAGAACTATTTTGAGACTATTTGATGTTTTTTGAAAAGTTTTGATATCATAGCAAATCAGTGTTAAATTGAAAATATTCGAGCAATGTTATGTGAAATATGTGTTATTTTGTAAAAAGTTTTCGGATTAGGCAGGATAATTTTTCAAATATGAGTGTTCACTGGTCATGTTAGGATGTGTTCAGATTTTAAACATAGGAATCAATGGGAGGAAAAAATGGACCAAAAAAGTGTATGGATTGGAAGGATTTTGGATATACAGGTTTCACTGAAGGTAGCTTTATGTCCTGTAAAGCTACAGCCTCTTGTAATTTGCTTTGAAAATAACATGGCAGAGAAGCATCAAAATACAAGAGGCCCAAAAACAAGTTAGGTCTCTAATATATGTTTCTCGTTTTCAAAGAGTTGCACTCTAGTCCTTTGATTGCTTTGTTTAGGTTTGATTGACCACACAAAAAAACATTTTTGACTGCTATATGCTTGCATGTTTTATTAGGAGGTCTCTCCGAAGAGGTAGAAGAGAAGATTCTTCATGCAGCATTTGTGCCATTTGGTGACCTTATCGATATCAACATCCCATTAGATTATGAAACAGGTAAGCTGTATCAACTGACATTTCACTATTATAGATAATTTTGAAGTTACTTTTATTATGTTGATATTTGAACATTTTATTTTATTTGTTAATAAAATACAGTCTGATTGAATTACATGTATATCGCACTCTTCATTTCCAACTCTGGTATATAATAGGCTACTAGTAAACATATACCTGTACATTCAACTTCATCTGTTTTTATGTCACCACAACGAGTGTTGACATATTGTCATTATCTCCAACTTTTTTATGGATGGTGTCTAGCAGTTGGCATCTGTAACATTGGTATGTGGTGACATTTTGAATGTTACTGCATTCGTTATGTTTGCATAAAGTACATCAGGATGTTTGACTGAGTGGTCCACAACTTGTACAAAAGGCTGTGGTGTGTACTTGTATGTCTATGTATGGGAACACATAAAATGAATCATAGAAGCTCTAGTAGTAAATAAATAAACAAAAACATACAAACATTAACAAACATACTGTACATACATAGTATTATATATCCGAGTACTTTTGTTTTTTTCAGAGAAACATAAAGGATTTGCATTTGTAGAGTTTGAACTAGCAGAGGTAAGTAAAATATGTTTTTTTAATATTACAATTTTTAAAGAGATCGGGTCTCCTAAAAACACAATTAGATTAACCCCCTGATTTTTTCGTGTTATTTGATGTAAAACAAGTTTGTTTATCAACTTATCAATTCTGAGGTTTGAATTAATTCGTTAACTGTATCAGTTCGATCATTGTTCCTAGCCATGAATTTCCACTTACATCAATAGAAATTAAAATTTTAATTTAAAAAGCCAGCTCGAATTTGTTCCAGTCTGATTGGCTTTTTCCTTCAGATTATTTTGGCTTAGAGAAGCCATATTTATTACTTCTAAGGGGTTACAATATAGATAAATCCCCCAAAAAACATTGTATTCTGTTTTGACTTATTGCGTTCAATTCTGACAGTTGGTTGTTCTTTTGGTTGTCCTGTTGATATCCTCAATGCATTGTTGATATTGTGCTTATGATTTGGTCTCAAGATATTTCTAAGGTATAACTATGATGTTTTATGAGCAATGATATTGGACATTACTGATTGTCCAGAACAGAAATCTGGATGACTCGATCTCTTTAAGGATTTGTTTAGTTGAAATGAAATGAAACCATGCACCATTCATTTTTGTTTTTTTAATATAGCACCCTATTTATTCCATCGAACAAAATTTAGGGGGATATACAAGAGTATAGAGAATGAATCTGTCCATATATACCTACACCAAAATTCCTTCAAATGCCAAATATGTACTAGATATTGATCTTGGAATGACCTTGACCTCTGACCTTCATAGAATATCCATTGACCCACTAAGTATGTTGACCAAGTATAATTATCGAAGGTTGAATTGTCTCGGAGAACATATATACTGTCCTCACTACTCATTTTCTTGATCTATCATGTACTTTATCTCTTACTTAGAATATCTGATTATTGATTGTTATCCCATCGAACAAAGTTCGGAGGGATATAGGGAACGCTCTGTCCATCCATTTGACGTACATCTGTACGTCAGTCCGTCCAGGCAATAACTCAAATACCGTTGACCTGATTTTGTTCATATTTTGTACACATATACCCTATGGGGGTAGAAGTTCTGCTTTAAAGCTGATTTTCAAAATGGCCGCTCATTTAAAAATGGCGGCCATTTTAGTGCCGATTTTACAGTAGTTTAGGTGCAATATGTAAAACTGTAATAGCAATATGTTTTAAATGTAAAATGGCGGCCTTTACTCGTTATTTTATGATTTTTGCTGTAAATTGAAAAGTAGTGAAGCGATATTGTTCAAATTTGGTATGCGGATGCTATAAGCATGGCACACTGTCTAATGATGCTTTTGGTAGAAGGTGGCTATTTTGAAAAATGGCTATTTTAACGTATTTTACTATAACTCCAAAAGTTTTGGAGCGATTTTGTTCATATTTGGTATGTGAATACTATAAGCATGGCACACTGTCTAATGACACTTTTGGTAGAAGGTGGCCATTTTAAAAAATGGCTGCCATTTTTTGCTATATACTTTGTTTGTAAAAATGCCAGCCATGGCTGTTTGATGGGATTTGCTACGCTTCGGCATTGCTATTGTCTAGTTCTAAAAGGGAAAAGGCAATTACCAGTCTCATAATATTCATAACTCATTTGTTAAAGAAGACTTAAATACTACCCTTTGCATTCGTTTGACTTCACTGCTTAAAAGAGAGCTTCGTCTTCACTCTTTCAAACTAAAATAAACCTGTGAACTCACAGCGCCAATCAGTTCTATATATGGTAATTCCTTCTGACGTCATCGTTGAGGCCGGAATTGACAAATGACATGCGCCTATTTAATTAGAACGCATTTGGCGTATGTTTCTTCAAGCTCGCTGATTGGTGGAAGAAAGGTCAGCGCGTAGGTCAAAAGTGATTTATTACCCAAACTGTTACCAGTACCCGTCGTGGGGGCGGGGCTACTAAACTGTAATATGGTCTCTACTAGGCAGAGTGTAGTTTAACTAGACTCTGCACGCAGGGTACTTAAATACCTTCATGGTGGGAAACAAATATCAACAAAAAAGGAATTTGAAGAGATACACTGTACTGTGTTTTTGATTTATTTCTCAGATTTATTCCAAGTTTTATAGTAATGATTACTTAATTAATGAAAATAGGCATGGAATGTTTTGTGAGCAAAACATATCATAAAATGTGACTTTCTTTCCATCTATAATTTTTGTTGCCTTATAAGCTCTAGAACTTGGGAAAATGAAGAGGCATTTCTTGTTTAAGGTTCTTACATGAACTTCAGACTGAGCTTTAAAAAAATATTTTATAAATAATGTCTTTTTCAGCATGAAGCTGTATGACTGAAATGTAGATTTGTATTTTCTCAATTGCTCTTAATTTTTACAGTCTGGCTAATAATATGTGACATTTGTTCAAATAAGTAGAGATTGCTACATTTAAACAGCCTTCTGTAATACCCTGTATAATAACATAAGAGGTAGCAAATCAATATTCCAGATGCATTGTCTCTTGCAGGAGTCAGTGACTGACAGTGAGCAAGTAGATGGGTGAACCTGTTCAACATCTCATAATGCAAAAATCAAGGGTTGTAGACTAACTGTGCTCCTATCAGACATCGCCTCCTTAACATCAATCCTTTATTCATTGTTTAAAGCATGTACATCAATAGATACCTTTTAAAGCTTCCATTACTGATGTAGACAAATGCATTATTTCACTTCATCTGTAAACAGATTTGATATAAATAATCGAGGAGATAATGGACATCATTTATTTATTGTTTGAGTGATGACTTTTTACATCTTATTTATGTGACATTAAATAGAATATTGAAATCTTCAGTCAATGTCACTGTGCACTCAGAGTATAAAAAAACGTTGACTCTTTTCTGTGGAATTTAAGAACTTTGGCTTGTGTCTGCCATTCACAGCCAAAAATATCACTCTGCATTAAATTTTTGTGTCATCACCAAGTGGTGACATATTGTCTTTTCTGTGGAGGATGTTCTGTCAAATTCCAATAAATTAATGGCCACATTAAGTACTTAAATGTTTATTGTGAAGATATAAAAGAATGTTAAGAGTTTCCAGCTACTGCTCAGGACCTTAGCAAGGGGGGTTAGGGGTTCTTTCAAAATAATGCAGTATTTCATCATTCTGAGTACTTTTCAAGTGATTTTGGCCATTTTTGAGTCAGAGTTGTCAAAAGTGAACCCCCTCTGGAATTTAAAAAAAAGTGAACCCCCCTTGGCAAATCCTGGCTATAGGCCTTCTGCTACTGCACTCCTGCAAAGTTCTTGAGACAACACATGAGTGGTTAAAATCAAATAAATAAATGCATTGGGCCCTTGGCTTAAGCCTTAAATCCTTTTAATACATTAGATGATGAACAATATATTGTATTCCAACAATATTCATATTGAATGTCCCAAACAAGTTGCCACTGGAGACTCATTCTTGTCTCTTAGAAAGAAATCTGAGATGAGTATTGATGTGATGAGGTATCAAGAAATCTTTCAGACATGCAAGAAATGAAAAGATAACATGTCCCTCCATTTGGCAATTGACCTTTCCAGTACAGCCTGCCATCTTTGCTACATCAAAGAAGCATTGACCCCTGCCAGATTCCTCCTGTTGGTCTCTACGTAGGCTCAATAAATCTACTCAAGGATAAGACTTGAAATATTTGGAAAATTAATCTTATTTCCTTGATTCTGGAGTCAGTTTATCAATAAATATAACATTTCATACCTCAAATGATGCGTACTGTTGTCAGCCTTATCTCCAGTCACTTAAACCATACATAGATGTAAGCGTCTGTTGATAAAAGCACAAAATAGCTAAGCTTAAAGATAATGTCTGGTTTCGGCAATTTCCGGTGATCATAATGAAAGAAACACCATGACATTTTTCTCAAAATCCCCTAAAAACAATAACCAAGGTTTGTTTAGAATATGTGATCACTTGCTTTCATTGGCTGTTTGTTGTGATGTGAACTAACAGATGAACAGCATCGGACATTGCCAGAAATACCAAATCCAGACATTATCTGCACCCTGGAAACTCTGGGTCTGTGCAAGGAAGCAAGGATATATTGACTAAATAATTGTGACATATTTCTGTTTCATAATTTGTTCATGACAATTTGCTACTCTGGGATTGCTGTTTTCAAATAGACCACAAATTCATTTTATTATAATGTACATGTAATTTATTTTGTTATTTTGTTTGCATTATAATATAATATGTCTTTACTGTTACAGGATGCAGCTGCTGCCATAGATAATATGGTATGTATACTCACACTATTGCTTAAAGCCTCACTCACATTTGCTCTATGGGGAACGTAGCTCCACAAAATTGAAATAGAAAATCGACATCGTTCTGCTGAACCCTATATTTTATGCCACATATTTCTCTTAATTTTTTGAAGCTAAAGCCACTGTACAGTTCCCGTAGATCAAATGTGATTGAGACATTACCAATCTATTACATAAAAATTTTTTTTTGGACCCACATAAAATGACTGGCTCTAAATATTTCATCGCCTAGTATCTTTTTTGTAAAATCATATGAAATACATTGTACAAAGAAACAATAATAAACCACTTACTACTTTGAATTTGTTTCAGAATGACTCTGAGCTCTTTGGAAGAACTATACGTGTAAACATGGCCAGGCCACAGAAAGTTGCCAAAATGAAACCAGGTACAGATATTGCTATTTGTTTGTTCTAGTAATCCTTGACCTTGTTGTTGTACAAACAGGGGTGTAACCAAATTCAAAAAATAGATGAGACAAAAAGGGAAATAGTGATTTGTAGCTGGGACAATTCTTGATAACTTTTTCAATTCTCAATATTTCTTCATGAAATTTTCACAGGATAAACTTCAAAGCACCTAACATACAAATATTTTGTTTAACTCATAATCAGTTTTTCCAAAATGATGGCCAAATTCTTATAAAAGACCAATTTTGCATCTTCAGATACATAATAATTACAATAGATAATAACAGTATTTATTCCATGGTTACAAGGATAGATGGAATATCAGGTGAAGAAATATTTGATATGTGGATCAAGATATCATATTTTAGCAAAAAATCCCCAAACCATCGAATATCACTTCTCAAACCATTGAATATCACTTCTAACTTCTAACTAAAAAAATTCTATTTTTTGAAAAGTTTTTGTAAGATTTTTTAAAATTTATTTTTAGATTGGAATAAACGGACAATCCTATGGCTTTTCAAAAATATCAATTATATCCACTCGTGGATATCAATATCTTTACTCATTTGCTGCAATCACTTGTGAAGATATCAATATTCATTCATTCATAAATTATATTATTTCAAAACCATAAGATATTCCTATAATATTTGAAAACTAATTTAACAATATTTACTTTTGGTGCAAATAAATAGGTCTATCTATCAAATTTGAAATCTACATATAAAATTAGATTTGGAAAAGTGGTTTTTAAGATTTTTCATCAACTTTGAAATATTTGCTTTTGAAAATTCTAGACTGGGTAAATTTCCCATAGAGCCTCTGTTATAAAATCATGAAATATAAAATATTTTCTTTTATGGACAAAAAAAATATTTCTTTAACTGGTGGAGATACTGTTAATTGGTGGTAACCAACTTCTGGCACTTTGGTAATTACAAGATAATTGATAAATAACATCGTACTCAGAGTTGTACATCAAAAGTCACATTGTTTTTTTTTCATATTTGCATGTCAAAAATAAGACATTCACCATTATTTTATAGGTAATCAATTGGAAATGACAGTCTTATTTAGAATAAAAAAAACTCTTAAACTACATGTAATTAAGCAGTTATTATTTAAGGTACATGTCATTGATTTGCAAGACTATCAGGATAATTTGTATTGAACCCATGAATGGCTCATAAGGAAATTGGATTGTTTAAATGAATGCTTTATTGCTCTAATTTGAAGTATTTTTGAAAATTTTTGTTAGTAAATTACATCTTATTAATACCCTGTCTTCCGGAGTTCATGATAAGAGGAGAGGATTAAATTAGCTGGCACTGAAGACATTTTCTCTCCCATTATATTCTTAATCCCAGGAAAACAATCTTTTTCCTTTTGTGTAATCAAGTTTTCACACCTTGGTCATTGCAATCTATTCATACCTCAATGCATTTAGTGTGGGAGCAAAAGTCCAAATAAGAGGTTCCGTGTCCTTTTTAGAGGCGAGCTAAACGACATATGTTTTCATGAACTAGAAATGATACTGATCAAGAAAAATGATGTTGGCAATTCTGAATCCGCGACGGCGTTGCTATGGTAACCAAGTAAATATGCCACGCCCACTTTTAGGGGCTCTTTTCAGTGTATGGCCCCTATCTCTGTCATTATTGCTCAGATTTAGATGAAATTCACACCAAATAGAAGATAATGGATAATGCAATCAGGAAATATTAAGTTGGCAATTCTGAATCCGATATGGCGTTGCTATGGTAGCAAAGTAAATATCCCACACCCACTTTTAGAGTCTCTTTTCAGTGTTTGGTCCCTATCTTCATCAATATTGCCCAGATTTAGGTGACATTTGTACCAAATGAAAGGTCATGGAAAGAGCAATCAAACGGTTTAAAAAATATGCAAATAAGGTGATTTACATATTAATTATGACGTCATAACCGTTTGTTCTTGCATATTTAATTTTAATCATGATGTATAAATCTGGGAAATTATTGTCTTTAAAATGGTCAGTAATGCTCCTAAGTAGTTAATTAGTTCATTTCTTTTTGATGAGTTAATTAGTTTATTTCATTCATACATGTATGGTCATAAAAATTGAAAAAATGTAATGAAAATATCCAATTTAAGCTGTTGCTATGGTAACAGTATGTTGCAAAACTATCTGCTGTGAAAACAATTCTTTGGGAAATGTTACATTTTGACTAGTTGACTGACATGTATTCCTTTTAAAATTTGATGGCTGTCAGAAAATAACCTAATAACGATATAAAATTATATTATTTGGATTGTGTTATATTATGATGTCATAATGGCTATTATTAATCAGGGGTGCAACCAGCTTTCAATCAGGGGGAGGGGTGCGATATCGGCATAAGCAACTCAAAAAAGTTTAATTTGACTTGAATTTTACAAAAATTCCTTCAAAATTGAGCTAGAAGCTTCAAGTCAAAAGCATTTTTAAAGCTCTTCTGCCGAAAGAACAATGGAAATGACGTCTTGGATCTCCTGCTCTAATGGTTCTATTTTTATTGCTAAATTGGGGGGGGGGGGGGTTGGCCCAATCACACCACCTGGCTATCCCTATTTTAGCTGTTGTATTCAGGTGATTATGCCATCCCCACTTTTCAGGTCTTTTCCAAAGTCTTGATTCTATCAGTTGTCATGATGATAGCTCTGGTGTATATGCAATTTTCATCAAATGGAAAATAATCCAATCTATCCACCAGTTATCTTAAATGATAAACAAATTGAAAAAACTGACATTCATAAACACCTAGGCTTCATTTTTGATAAAAAATTAAGTGGGTCAGCACATATAAATTCTATCTGTGCAAAAATCCAAACAGCTCTTAACCCCTTAAAAGCACTTAAGGGTAGACTAAAATCAAAACAATTAAATATTCTCTATACAGCTTATATTCAGTCCTTATTTGATTATTGTGATATCCTTTACGACTGTGCTCCTATTTTTGACCTTAACAGACTTGACAGTCTCCAGTACCAAGCTGGTCTAATAGTCTCTGGTGCTCTCCCAGGCTCCAGCACTTCCAAAGTACTTAACATTTTGAACTGGTCCACCTTAACTGAGAGGAGGATCCTCCACTTTAAAACAATTATGTACAAAGCCGTGAACGATTTAACACCTATTTATATCTCAGATATATTTAGGCCATTCATAAATCCTCAAGCAAGATTGTTAAGGAAATCTCGAGATTTCACTATCCCTATTCACTATCCACATAAGTCTCCAATATACAAAATGATGAACCTATGGAATGATCCAGGATCTGTTCCCTTGGAACAAAAGCTCTTGCCAACTATTGCATCTTTTAAAAGAACACTTAAATTAAATTTGTTCCCTGGTGTTGTTTCAACAATTTGTTTAAAATTAACTCGTCAACAAGAACTTTATCTGAATAGAGCCAGGGTAGATTTAATTTTAAAAGCCCAGCTCAAAGCCCACAATTGGAGCTCAGCTGAGTCATCAAATTGTTTATGTGGTTCCCCTGAAACTTTTCCCCACTTCTTTTTCAAATGCCCTCTGAAAGAACAACAAAGAAATAAATTAATAACAGATACTTTAGGGATATATGGGGACTTATTAACTCATTTCAGAACTCAGCAAGACAAAATTCACTTTTTTCTTTTTGGGGATCCATCATTAACCCAATTAGAAATGGATAATCTATTTTCACTGGTTGCGAATTATCTCATTGAAAACACAACCAGAATCTAAATATTTTCCTGCCTATGACCTGTTTCCAATTTTCAACATACTACCCCCCCCCCCAGGATATCAGCAGCCCTCCTATCTTTTGTTTCATTGCAAGGCATTCTACCATACACAGGTGACATCCAGGTTAAAATGAATATTGTACTTTATTGTTTATTTATATAAGGGGACATCTAATGCTTACAGCGCTTTGCCCCTTGTAATTGTATCTAAATGACTTGTGCTTACAATAAATATGAAAGATGATAAAAAAAATCAAATGGAAACTAAAGAATCAGACGATGCATGGGGAATGTAGATTGACAGACTGATATACCTGTTATGGTATGACTACCATAGCTGTTTTCGAAATTATTTTCTTGAAATAAGGTAAAATTGCTCAAGATGATTCCAAATTGGTATCTAGTCCTTTTACATTTACCATAAAAGTAGGTTAAAGCTGAAAACAATGATTGATTTACATTATATTTCTTTACACGTATAAAGTATGATCAAGAAATATTGTGGGCAATTCTGAATCTGCGATGCCGTTGCTATGGTAACCAAGTAAATATGCCACACCCGTTTTTAGGGGCTCTTTTCAGTGTTTGGCCCCCATCTCCACCATTATTGCTCAGATTTTAATGAAATTCAGAGTAAATTGAAAGTAATAGATAATGCAATCAGGATATATTAAGTTGACAATTCTGAATAAACGATGGCGTTGCTATGGTAACAAAGTAAATATGCTCCACCCACTTTTAGGGGCTCTTCAGTATTTGGCCCTTATTTTCTTCATTATTGATCAGATTTAGATGAAATTTGCACCAAATCAAAGGTAATAGATGGAGCAATCAGACAGTTAGTAAACTATGCAAATAGGATGATTTGCATATTGATTATGACGTCATAAATATTTGTTCTTGCATATTTTATCTTAATCATGATGTATTAATCTGTGATATTATTGTCTTTAAAATAGTCAGTAATGCTTTTAACTAATTAATTAGTTTATTTCTTTAAGTTGAGTTTATAATTTTATTTCATTCATACTTGCATGGTCATAAAAACTGATGGAATCAAAAATGTATTGAAAGTGTCCAATTTATGCTGTTGCTATGGTAACAACACGTAGCAAAACTATCTGATGTAAAAAAAATTCTTTGGGAAATTTTACATTTTGACTAGCTGACTGACACATGTATTCTTTTTAAAATATGATGACAGAAAATAATCTTATAACTATAGAAAATTATT